GAAAGGGACATATTTATTTGTCTAGACAGTAAATATTTGAGGGTTTACAATTTGAGGCAAAATTAATAATCTATTTAGGTACTCAAAAAAGAGAAAACAAATTTCCATAAATATTGTATTGGCAACATTCAAAATACAGTAATAGGCTGGGCTCGGTGGCTCATGCCTGTAATCCTAGCACTCTGGGAGGCCGAGGTGGGTGCCTTGCCTGAACTCACAGGTTCAAGACCAGGCTGAGCTAGAATGAGCTAGCTAAAAATAGCTGGACATTGTGGCAGCACCTGTAGTCCCGGCTACTTGGGAGGCTAAGGCAAGAGAATTGCTTGAGACCAAGATTTCAGGTTGCTGTGAACTATGACACCATAGCACTCAACTGAAGGCAACAAAGTGAGACTCTGTCTCAAAAACAAACAACAACAACCCCTCCCCCCCTCAGAATACAGTAACAATTGAGTGTAGGTTTTTCTAGAGGGATAATAATTACCTACTACTAATGAAAAGAATAGAATTCTTTGTTTGGGGGGGGAGAAAAGATAAGTAACATTTAACTTAAGTGAGGTTCAAGTTAGTATTCCCTATGACCAAACTATAAATGTTCCTTGGCAAAAACCATTTTTAGCCATGGCATAAAATCATATGGTGGGTTGGATTTGGGTTACAGTTTGCTAGCCTGTTCTCTAGTATCTGACTCATTGCCTTTGAGCTATTTTATTTATTTTTAAAAAAGTTTTTGTAGCTTGGGCACAGTGGCTTATATTTGTAAAACCAGCACTCCACACCTAGCCTGTTACTGTATTTTAAATGTTGCAAATACAATATTTAAGGAAATTTGTTTTTTCTTTTATGAGTACCTATATAGAGACAGGTAGAACCTGAGCTCAGGAGTTTGAGACACATCTGAGCAAGAGTCAGACCCCATTTCTGCTAAAAATAGAAAAATTAGCTAGGGATGGTGGCAGATACTCATAGTCCCTGCTATTTAGGAGGCTGAGGCAGGAGCATTGCTTGAGTCCAGTAGTTTAACGTTGCTGTGAGGTAGGTAGGCTGATGCCATAGCACTCTAACCTGGAACTGAGCAAGACTTTGCCTCAGGGAAAAAAAAGTAACTTTACAGTGGGAAAGCAGGATAGATGATACTGCCTTTACAAATGATCGAAGTCAACAGTTTCAAAATGGGATAATTAAAACCTACTCCTGGCTAGGCGCCTGTGGCTCAAGCGGCTAAGGCGCCAGCCACATACACCTAAGGTGGCGGGTTCGAATCCCCAGCCC